TGGGTTCCCTTTTATGCCCCATTTTTATTCACTGTAAATAAACTACCTCACTTAAATTTGGTGTGCTTTATTCTGGAATGACCGTTCCCCACATCAAATGGGGGGCACCTTTTGCGTGGTCGTGCACAGCCCCCCCGGATCCCAGTGCGGCTCCCGGTAGTACAGGCTGGCTTCACCCTTCCCAGGCTGGATACCTGGACGTCTCCGCCTACCTCAGCCAATTGCCCAATCCTGCTTAGGGAGGCATTGCCAGGGGGTCGGCCAGGTAGGGAGAGGGACCGCCCTGCCCACACAACAGAAGGTGAATCTTACCTGTGAAGCGTCAGTTGACTCCTGTTTTTTGGACTTCTTGGTTAACTCCTACTGTGTATCGTGTAACTGCCTGAGGTTCAGAGGGCAGAGAGTGGACTTTTAGTTCTTGCCTATCTGTATCTCCAGAGATATCTGGTAAAGTCTGATGGGTCTCTTGCCCCAGACTGTATGACAATCAGGAGTGATGGCTGCCTCCTATTTTTGCAGAGTCTAGTTAGAAGGCTCTGGTTGGAATTCTGTACCAGCTTAGGCCAAAACAAGATTTCTGACTGCTGGGGCTTGCAGGTCAGGCAATCTTGACACCCATCACCCTTGAAGATTGGCTTATGAGCACAGGTGTGGCATAGGGGTGCAGGGGGGCCGTTGCCCCAGGTGCACAATGGGTAGAGGCTTGTGAACCAGGCTCCATCTGCAGAGATCCCCATCACACAGCTGCTCACTCAGGAGGCGAGGACTGGGTGATTGGAGGGTGGAGAGTACCCTCTTTGCTGCACCCATACCTGCCCAGCATGTGAATGCCCGCTCATCGGGGGTGAGGGCTGGGTGAGCAGAGGATGAAGAGCACCTTCCATTCCCTGCTCCTGCCCAGCATGTCAGAGCCTGCCTGTTGGCAGCGAGGGCTGAGTGAGGCACAGAGGGTGGTCTTCACCCTTCACTTGCCCAGCCCTCGCCCCCGATGAGCAGCCAGCAGTTCCACTCCTGGCTCAAGCCCGACCTGGGGAGAGGAGAGTCAACAGCAGCATTAGCGTTCCTCTCTTTGGCTGGGTGACACCGTGCAAGGATGCTGCCAAGGCAGCATTCTCTCGCCTGGCCAGGCTAGAGGCAGTGGGCTATCTGTTAGAATTCCTGCCCCATGATTGCAGTCATGGGACTTTTGTCTTTCACATGGTGGTATATGTTTTGACTCCACAGAGTGGGAAGTGACAGAGACAGGATGTTTGTGTTACTGTGTTCCGTGAAGTGGGACTATTGTCCTTTGTTCTTTTTCTCTTTGCTGTCTGACGCTAGAGAGAGAGGGAGCCATTTTGCAGTGCTCCGTGAGTGTTTATATGTAAATAAAGTAGATTAGCCAAAATGCTGAGTTGCTGAGGTCTGTTACGCTACTGCACAAACTCTGCAGATCCCTAAGTGTGCCAGTGTCGGTTGGCATCGGTCTCTGTGATGTTCAGACTGAAGAAAGCTTTTGAAGCTCCTGAACAATTGACCAGGAGGGAAAGAACATGCCAGTTGGGCATGTCTCTGCCAGGGTCCTACTCGAAGTGTATGCCATGCCCATTGGGATGCACCCACCCTGGGAAGCTGGAGCATATGCTCCACCACTGTTTATGAGAACTAGAGTTCAATCACAGTTGATGGGTCACAAGTTCCTCAGCCCTAGCCCTTCATGCCATGGATCAGCCCCCAAAACTTGTATTAGTACCATAGTTTAGCCATGGAGCACATGAAGTCATAACTGGAAGCATATTCCAAGTGACCTACCGTCATCACTGAGTAACTGCAAGTAGAGATGGAATTAGGTGGAACCGAGGAGTCATTACTCTGGGCCCTGAGTGGAATGAGGACTTAGATTCCATGTTGTGTTGCTTGGATGCCAACCAAATTCTCAAATGAGCTGAGTACTTGCACCCAACCATACACATGTCAGATCTTCCCAGAGCTGTACAATGCAGTGCAGAATAATAATAATAATAATAAAGTACATTGTTTTTTATTTAATCTATTTTGTATGAATGTGTTTGATGTAAATAATTCAGAATAATTGAAGGAAGATTGCATACAGTTTATTCCTGTGTGGGGACATGATGAGAAAAGCCTTTTAAAGTCATCATAGACATAACTGACATGACAATCTAGCTCAAACTGAGACACCATTATTTTTCTGGTGGAAAGGAAGAAAAACTATATCAATATAGCTACTCACACAGGCACTCACGTACATATATACAATACCATAATCAGAAATGTGTTCTAGAGCAAGGAGTTCTTAAATTACTTCTCCTTTTTTTAATGAACTGAACTACGCTTTCTCTTTACCTGCTGAATTTAAGGCCAAGACTCTATCCAAAGCAAGGTGCAAATATATGTATTTTTTTTTAAAAAAAAGCAAACAGTAAAATCCATATCCGTGTTCAATTTACCTAAAAATAATGTTAGGCTTCAAATAAGAGAAGAGAGGCTATTAACCAACCTGCCTAGTGTTGCATTTCATTTTAAACAAAAAAATCACCTAAGATTTAGTCCGTTACATTAAAAGAGACTGCAAATAAAATATAAGTAGAAAATGATGGCATAAAACTGCAAGCCACACCAGGGAGAACTAAGACCAGCTTTATCTTTCCTTTGCAATGCATATTCCATTTTTCTTTCCTGAATGGCTTCATATATAATTTTAATGAAATTGGGGGGGGGGACCTTTTGATATTGCTTTAATTTTCTCTCTGTTTACCAGCCTTCTGAAGCGCTCCTAGACCTGCCACTGATCCAGGCAAGTGGTTATATCCAATGAAGACAGGCTCAGAGTAGACCCGTTGACATTAGTGGACATTAGTGGACTTGTTCATGACTAGCTGAAGTCCATTAATTTCACTGGAGCAACCTTTGAACACCAAGCCAAACGTGGTTCACACTTCCAACTGCGGGGAAGGTCAAAATTAGGGGTGTGCAGAAAGCCACAAGATTTGGTGTCTCACTTCTTAACCCATTCCTGATCTACAGAAAGACGACTCATTCATTTCACTGTAAAAACAATCCCTGATTAGATTACAGTAAAATATAATTGATAAGCGTAAACTATAAAGCATAAAAAGCAATATAAAACACAGTAAAATGACACAAATGAAATACAACATTAAAACCTCAGGGCTTTTCTGGGTGAATTTGTTAACTTTGGTATCTCTCCACTTCATATTTTTCAGTCTTAAGTTCAGCTCTCCACATTTCAACATCAGTTGGCAGTATATGCAAAGTCTTTGTGAACATTCACCAGCATTTTAGTGTGAATTTCTCTGAATACACACATTTTTTGTATGTAATTTAGCCTGGTGCACATTTTTGCAAAGCAATTTCCCCAAATACAATGCACTTACATATGCTATTTTTATTAATATATGCATTTTTAGCCACATTTTACCCTAGTATATGCATTTTTGTACAGATTACATGGCCAGAGAACTGCACTGCAAAATTCAGACCTGTGCAAATTCTGAAGGACAGCTTCAGTTCATGTATTTTTTCAGAAAGTGTGAATTATGTAGGTTCACCTTTAAGTGTGAATGGAATCAAATTTCTCCTCAATCCCTAGTGATGCATAAATTCAGTAAACTGAAACTTCCTGCCCGAAGCTTCTCCCTGTGGACCCTGAGTCTCTCCACTTCCTTCCATTATCGATTCGATGTGCAGAGATTGATATATTCAGTGCTCTGGGTTTTTAATGCACGTTTATCTCAGCCAATAATTTCTGTTTGCTCTCGTTTCCCCCCTGTTCTTGCCTTTGTTTCCCAATTCTCTCCCTAACTCTCTCTTCCCCCATTACTTATTTATATTTACAAATCCAAAACTGCATTTCATCAAGGATAAACTGCTGGTGCTCGAGGCTAGCTCTAGCTTTCAAATGTTCAGCAAAAGTATGCGCCTCTCAAAAATAAAACAAATGCTTTATTATCATTTGCCACATTCATTCTTATGCAATGCGTTTGCTTCGAAAGTTAAGCTGGGTTAAACTGTAATCATATTTTTGCTGTGCCCATAACGACTTATTATTCTACATATTTTTCAGTAAAGCTAAAACCATGGTGACAAGCTACAATTGGCCAGTTTTTATACTGCCCCGGGCCTTGTGAGCCCAGATTCATAGCTGTTGCTGCATCATCCAGGGTGTTTGGGTATCATGATATAAAAATGGCTCACTTCACAACTGGTAAACCACCAACACCCAGATAAATGCAGCTGGGGCCTGCTCTAGGTTTGAGTGGCTCATGGGAACATAATAAGCAGCCATATGCAAGTCAGACTATTGGTTCATCTCATTCAGTATTATTTATACTGTCTGAAAGTGGCTCTCAAGGCAGCTGTGAGAATACTAGTGGCCAGAAGTTGGAAATGCGAAACAACACCAACAATAACAGAATGGCAAACACTCGTGATAGAGTATTTCCAATTAGCAAAGCTGACTGGAAAAGCCAGGGGAACCTTAAATCAAAAAGTATATGGAGAATGGAAAATATTTAAGGAATATATAAGACTATATTGTAAAAATGATACCATCCTAGCGGAATTGAATGATATTTGTGTAAAATACATAAATGGAATAAATATCTTAGAGGAATATATGGAAAAAGATATAAAACAAACTGCGTGATAAAATCAAGACAATAGAAAAAGTATAATGAGAACGACTGGAAGCTTCTCACAGAAGAATTTATTGGATAAGACTTGATGTTGTATAAATATCTGGTACTTTTAATTGTTATTTTCTTTTTCTTTTCTTGTTACTTTTACACTTTTTGTACTTTTCATGCGGATAATTCTTTCCCCCCCCTCCTTTCTTTTTCTTTCTTTTCTGTGCTTAACTTTGTTGTACTTACCTTTATTGTAAGATTGTATTTTAAACTAATATCGATGTAATTATAAATAAAAAAAGAAAGAAAGTGGCTCTCAAGGGTTTTAGATGAGGCATTCCCAGCCCTATCTGCAGATGCCAGGAATTGAACCTAGGAGCTTCTCCAAGCAAAGCAGAAGCTCTACATCTGAGCTACAGCCCTCCCCCTAATTCCTCACCATAGGATCCTCTGGTGAGCTGGCTTAACCAAATGAAGAAAATGGCAAAGGTATTCTTCTGATGAGCACTGCACAGAATGACCCAGAGTGATGTAGCACATTCCTGGAGCATTGTGGGGCAATTGCAATACTGATCACCAAGTAAATATATATTTAAAAAATAAAAAAAATTGTCCAGTAGCACCTTTGTTGTTGTTTAGTCGTGTCCGACTCTTCATGACCCCATGGACCAGAGCACGCCAGGCACTCCTGTCTTCCACTTCCTCCTGCAGTTTGGTCAAACTCATGTTAATAATAATAATAATAATAATAATATTTGTACCCCGCCCATCTGGCTGGGTTTCCCCAGCCACTCTGGGCAGCTTCCAACAAAGATTAAAAATACATTAAAATGTCACACATTAAAAACTTCCCTGAACAGGACCTTCGAGAACACTGTCCAACCATCTCATCCTCTGTCGTCCCCTTCCCCTTGTTCCCTCAGTCTTTGCCAACATCAGGGTCTTTTCCAGGGAGTCTTCTCCTCTCATGAGGTGGCCAAAGTATTGGAGCCTAAGTTTGTTCTTGGTATAAGCTTCCATGTGCATTCACATTTCTTCAGATACATGCACACGAAAGCTTATACCAAGAACAAACTTAGTTGGTCTCTAAGGTGCTACTGGACATTTTATATATATTTTTATATACCGTATTTTCGCTCCATAGGACGTACTTTTTTCCTCCTAAAAAGAAAGGGGAAATGTCTATGCATCTTATGGAGCGAATGCACTGGGCAGCAGAGGGATCCCTCGGCTACCGCTGCAGTCGCGAGCTGAGGGATGCTTCCGCAGGCAGAGCCATGGCTCCCGTCTGTCGCTCTTGCTCTGCTGGCTTCTCAGCGAAGTGGGATGAGGGACAGAAGGGGCTCTGTGTAAGGGCTCCCTTCTGTCCCTCCTCCTGCTTCGCTGGGAAGCCAGAAGAGAAACCAGACGCGCTGCGCTGTGCTGCGCTGCTGACAGCAGAGAAAGAAGGAGAGCCACAAAGTGCCTCTTGCTTTTCTGGTTTCACAGTGAAGCGGGAGTAGGGACGGAAGGGAGCAAGCAAAACGAGAGCCGCTTACATGGCATTTGTCCCACTTTGCGCAGCTCTCACTTTGCTTGCCCATCTCTCCTCCCACCTTGCTCTAAAGCAAGCAAAGCACCTGTCCCGGTGTCTCCTCCTCCTCTTTTACAGGGAGGCGGGAGGAGGGGTGGGCAAGCAAAATGAGAGCTGCACAAAGCGGGAGAAGCCATGTAAGCGGCTCTCGCTTTGCTTGCTTTAAAGCAAGAAAAGCGAGAACCGCTTACATGCTCTGCACAGAATTTTTTTTTCTTGCTTTCCCCCTCTAAAAACTAGGTGTGCCTTACTGTCAGGAGTGCCTTATGGAGCGAAAAATACGGTATTTCGACTGTGTCAAACCAACACGGCTACCTACCTGAATCTGATCACCAAGTATTCATCGGAGAAATGCTGGGAAAGGGGGCTCAGCACAATGACATTGGATGCTGCTAGCCAGCAATATATAGTGGCCCATCAGGCATGAGATAGAGCACTCTTTTTGCTGCCTGTCTGGAACAACAGAAATGGAGGCGTGGATTGTCACACACCTTAGCAGTCTACAATCCATGGCATTGGATTTTCCATTTTTCAGCACCCTAGTGCAGCCCATCCCTGTGGGGCTCACTGCCAGTGCTGATCAGATTCGTCCTAAAAGCAAGCCCTTTCGAAGGCGTGTGTCACCTGTACCAGGTCACCTGCAGAAAGGGGTTTGCAATTGGCAACTCCCTGGTACGGCCAACCCCAGTGGGGCTCAGTGTGGGTACCAAACAGTAGATCAGTAGGTCCTGCTTGCACAGGAAGAACCAAGATCTCACTTCAAGCTTGCAGTTGCGCTTTTGGAGCCATATTCTTATCTGCCTCACACCTGATGTCACATACAGCATCAGGTATCAGGCAAGTAATGATGTGGGTTTGTGGGAAAGGCTTTGGCAAGCCACATTGGGGCCTATGAAGAGCACAATTAATCCTGAAGGCTGGAGGTTCCCCACTCCTGCTCTACAGATGTGTAGAGAAACCTCTCTTTTCTTTAGGATGTCAGTATGGCTATCTCAACATCTTACTTATGTGAAATCAAGGTGACTACCTTCACTCCAAGTATGTGTGCTGAGGATCCAAGCCCTAAATAAGAATCCTGCTTAGAAAATGAAAGGAAAAAATCCCCAAATGAAGAAAAATCAGAAAGCACAGACTTCTTTACTTTACTCTTGATTATTCGTTTCACAGAAAAGGTGGCAAATGTCCTAATTTCTGGATATGGTAAAGGTATGCCCTTTCCTATTTAAACTTGGTAGAATTACTCAAGGAAAGGGTAAAATTAAACCTGCAGTAAAGAGGGAACCTGATGCTTTCTAATCAAATGTGGTTATCCATGCTCTTCACTGCATTCCCTAATTCAAATCTGCAATGCTCACAAAGTTTGTCAAATACATTTAATATGCCACTTTCTATGTAGTACTTTCGTATCTTTTTTCCAGTGTTTTGCTAAAACACATCCAGCTTTCCCTTGAAAATCTCTGGGGAACTAGATTCTACAATATCTTTAGACAGCTTGTTTCATTGATGAACTGCTCTTATAATTAAGACAGATAGGCAGATAGAGAGGAGGAATGGGTGTGTGCGTGTTTTACCTTGGTGTTTAAGCTAAATCTATCTTCTTGCAGTTTAAATTACAGAAGTTTGAAATGTTCCAGAGAAATTGCACTGGCCTCACAGTGACTTTTCTTGAAATTCCTCAGATGTTTTCCCCTGCAGGGCAAAAACTTCAACATTTGATTCAAATTTATCTTCAGATGAAATTTGCAGACATTACAGGAAAGCACAGAAACCCTAGGAGAAATTTTGCAAGTTGCAGCTGAATGTTTTGCCTTCTCTCAGAACTCCTTAGGTGTTTCACCTGCAAAGGAACCATTCACTTTGCAAATGGGTTTTTCTTTCCTTAATGTCCTAGACAAGCCCTTCTGAAGAGGATAAAGTAGCTGCATCTTTAGGGTGGGACCACGATTCAGTGGTAGAACATTCTGTTAATAATGTTTAAATTTTCCATTTAAAATGATTCCATGAGGCATGTCTGAGAAGAACCAATGCCCAGCACCTTTACAGAATGACTCCCAGTTGGAGTAGACAGCAGAGCCAGATCTAGTGATATGGCAGTCTGGATACTGAAGGACAGGCAGCATTGCCAGACCTCTCTGGGTGGCCAAAGGTTCCCCACAAATTCGCTAAGCCATGGTTTGGCTAGGTGCGGCTTGTATAGTGCATCTGCCCAGATGGAAATGTGGTCCTCAGTCTGAAAAAACCTCTGCTCTAGACAAATGATTAGTTCTGCCTCATTTTCTCTTCTATCAGGTTTTGTTTCATAACGCCCCGCTCAAATATATGGCTACCATTGTTTTCTTTTACATTCTTATAGCCTATAGCCAGAACCTGAAGAGTGCACAATGCAACATATCCCCCTTTCCGCTGCAAAAGTTTGTTTCCATTTTGTGTTATCATCACTTCAATAAAGCACTCGTAGCAGCTGCACCCAGCCAAATTGTGTTAGTGGGATTCCTTCCTTTGTACTCCAGTAAGCTGCATGCTAGTGAGAAAAGGCCAAAATGCTTTCTTTTTCATCTCTTGCATATTAAGAAAAAATACATTTCTTCAGTAAATTACTTTGACATGAGGCCAACAATGTATCTGCATGTTGTGTTTCAAAAATGTTCTCTTCTTACTAGAGCAACGTTGGTGTGAAACGCAAGTGGTTCGGAGACAAAATTCAAAGGATTGATTCCAGACAACAGCTTAATATTGCAAACAAGGAGCTAAGCAATTGCAGAGATTTATTGGATTTTCAATAGAAACCCCAACTCTGTGATCCTCTTCTGAGGCTCTTCTTCATCTGCCTCTTCCACCAGAGGTCTGGAGGGTGGCAACATGAGAACGGGCCTTTTCTGCAGTGGCTCCCCATTTGTGGGAAGCTGTCCCCAGGGAGGTTTGGCTGGCGCCTTCATTATATATCCTTGTTGTTGTTCAGTCATTTAGTCGTGTCCGACTCTTCGTCACCCCATGGATCAGAGCACGCCAGGCACTCCTGTCTTCCACTGTCTCCCGCAGTTTGGTCAAACTAGTGTTAGTAGCTTCGAGAACACTGTCCAACCATCTTGTCCTCTGTTGCCCCCTTCTCCTTGTGCCCTCAATCTTTCTCAACATCAGGGTCTTTTCCAGGGAGTCTCCTCTTCTCATGAGGTGGCCAAAGTATTGGAGCCTCAGCTTCACGATCTGTCCTTCCAGAGAGCACTCAGGGCTGATTTCCTTCAGAATGGATAGGTTTGATCTTCTTGCAGTCCACGGGACTCTCAAGAGTCTCCTCTAGCACCATAATTCAAAAGCATCAATTCTTTGACGATCAGCCTTCTTTATGGTCCATTTATATATCCTTAGACGCCAGGCAAAAACGTTCTTCTTCAACTAGGCCTTTGGCTGATTAATATTCTACAGCCTTTTAAATGTATTTGAAGGAGGGGGTGCTTCTGTTCGTTGCTTTTGTTTTAACTACTTATTTTTAATATAGTGGGCCCTTGGTTCTTGAACTAAATCCGTTCCGGAAGTCCATTCCAAAACCAAAGCATTCCAAAACCAAGGCACACTTTCCCATAGAAAGTAATGCAAATTGGATTAATCCGTTCCAGACTTTTAAAAACAACCGCTAAAATAGCAATTTAACATGCATTTTACTATCTAACAACACCATTGATCCATAAAACGAAAGCAATAAGCAATGTACTTCAGTCACACAATCAATAGCTGAACTGGGTTCCACACAGTCACAAAAACAAAAAGCTGCAAAAACACAAAATAAATAGCAAAAACAGACAGACCTCAGCGTAACACTCGTAATAGAAGTGTGGCACTCAAAATGGAA